CTTTCCTTTCCTTCCTTCTTTCCTGCGCCCAGTGTGCTCGAAGTCTGTGGATCCCGGCTTCGACTCCGATCGCTCCCCTTCTCCAACTTGCCCGTCTTCCCTTCCTTTGTCTTCTTCGCCGGCGGACGCTGCACGGGCAGGCGAACCGAACGACCCTCTCATTTCCGGCCCTTGGCCCCTGGAGTTCTGGATCTTTCTCCCCGGTCCGCCGCACGAGCTTTCCTTGAAACCCCCTTCTCGACCTCCTGGCTTCTGCAGGCGATCCCGACCTGGACCTGCCCCTGGACTTCCACCTCCTCGTGCCGCCCCGGCGCCTGTCATCACACCTCTCTTCCTCGCGCCCGCGTCTGGGCGACCTCCTGTGGTGCTCACCTGCCTGCCTGTCTCCGGCACCGTCCCTGGCGATCTCCGTTTGGTTGCGGCGCAGGTCTTCTCCAGGCGCCCGCCCTTTCCCGCTGCCGCGGTAACTTGTCCCTCCCGGCCCAGGCCATTTTCTTTCCGCCTTTGACTGGGGCCCATGCCGTAGGTTGCCAAGTCTGCACGCTGGCTCCCATCCCTGGCCGCGGCGCAGGCAATGCTCGGCGCTGCACTGCCTTTGCCATGGTAGTACCACTGGTTCCCATTTGCTCCTTGGTGCGACTGCCACTCCAGGGCTCAACGAGCTTTCGGGGCCACCCTCCTGTTGGCAACGACCGCTCAGCCACAACACCGGCGGGCTCCTCGAGCCCGAGCGTCTATGGAAGGCCCGACGATCATGAACCAGACAACTGGCTCCCGAGCCCACCCGCGGGCAGACGACCCGAGAACGTCAGATGCCGAAGTACCAACGCATCGCCGCCCACGCTCCCTCTCCGGCTTCCCCGCCCGAGCCCCGGCGGTTCATCCTGACCGCCCCGCCTCCTCCCTCCTCCCGTAGCCCACTCCCTATCCTCCCCGCCCTTCCCTCCCGTCCCCCCCTCCCTCCGCCCGTGCCCTGGGCCCACTCCCTGCGGACAGTCACGAACGAACGACCTCGGGGCGAGGCTGCCAAGGCCTCGTGGAATTGATTCAGGTAAGCATTGGCCAGCCCTGAGTAAATCAGGAGGAAAAGAAACACACAGACAAAATTAATCCTCGATCCCCCAGAAAATATGGGAAAATATGGGAAGTGGCGGGGGAGACAGAAACCCAGAAAATATGGGAAAATACTGGGAATCTTTTTATTTGTGTGTATTTATTTGTGTGTTTGTGGGCCCCTTCAGTAAAGCGAGTCTGTGGTTCCAAGTCGATCGTAAGGATCGGCCGCCGAAGCGGCTCTTGGGCCCTCGCGGGTGCTGCGAGGGAGGGCCCCGGACCCCCGCGGACGGGGCAGCCCACCGCCTCCCCTTCCCCTCCCTCCTCCTCCTCCTCCTCCTCCTCCTCCTCCTCCTCCTCCTCTTCCTCTTTCCTGGGCAGCTACCACACACCCGCAGGGGCTTTGTCCACTTACCGGGGGTCGTCTCCCTCTTTCCTGGACAGCTACCACACACCCGCAGGAGCTTTGTCCACTTACCGGGGGTCCTTGTCAACTTACCGGGGATCTTTGACAACTTACATCTTACACTCCTCACATCCCACGTTCCTCGCATGACTACACAAATGACACATGAGCGATACGTGCCTGATGAAATTACAAGCCCTTCCGCCCTCCCCCTGCCCTAGCGCAGCTCCGCCTTCCCGGTTGCCCCAGCGCCACCTTCTTAAACCAAGTTTGTGGATCAAAGTCTTAGTGGCTGGCGCTGTCGGCGGCATACGCCGCCCCCCGCGCCCCACCAGTTGAGCAGGGGCTGCCCGAGTGGGTCGTGGCAGCTCGAATTCTACAATGAAGTCGAACTGCAGAATCCATGAAGTCTTTACTGAAATCCGAATTAAATCAAGGAGGTCTGAATAAAGTCAAAGAAGTCAAGGAAGGCGGAATTAAGTCAATGAAGTCGGGTTATACCTATTCGCCATCTCTGCCGCCAGTCCTCTGCTTCGCGAACAGCAGGTCGGCTTCATTTTCTCGCAACATGGAATGCCCGCGGTCCCGAAAGCAAGAACCGCGACGCCCTCAAGGGGGCATTCCGTGACCCCCCCCCCCCTGGCCGGCGGAAACGATGACAGGACCCACCCCGCGAGACCCGTTTGACCCTTTGGCTGAGGGACGAGCTAGTGAATAGACAACAGGCTCTCAGATGGAATTGAAACATGGTGGCACGACAATGAGTAGAGCTGCCCCTTGGGAACAGGGGTTGCCTCTTTCTCATACACAAACGCTCACGCTCACACTCACACACATACACGTACGCACACACAGACCCACACACACACACACGCACGCACGCACGCACGCACGCACGCACGCCCGCCCGCACGCCCGCACGCCCGCACGCCCGCACGCCCGCCCGCCCGCCCGCCAGCACACACATACATACATTCATGCATACATGCATGCATGCATACATGCATACACACAAAGACACACCCAAACACACACACACACCCATGCACACACACACACAACACACAACATAATGCACACAGCACACACCACGCAACATTCACAACACACGCACGCACGCACGCACGCACGCACGCACGCACACACACACACACAAACCACACGCACACACACACGCACACACACAAACACGCAAACACACACACACACGCACACACACACACACACAAACACGCAAACACACACACACACCAGCACGCGCCCGCGCGCGCGCGCACCCGCGCGCTCACAGGCGCATGCACGCACGCGCCCCCCCGCGCGTGCGAGCGCGCGTGCGCGCGCGTGCGCACGCTCACACGCGCGCGTGTGCGCACGCACATTTTGCAAGCGCGCAGGCACGCACACGCGCACGCGCGTGCACGCCCACGCATGCACGCGCGCAGGCACGCGCATCCGCGCGCACTCGCGCCCGCGCGCGCGCACGCGCACGCACGCGCGCACGCGCACAGCCGTGAATGCATACACGCACACGCGCAAATACGCACGCACGCGCACATGCACGCGCACGCACGTGCGCACTTGCGCGCGCGCGCGCCCACACGCATCCATACGCATCAGCGCGCGCCCACGCACACCCACGCACGCCTGCGCACGCCCGCGCGGACCCACGCGCACCCGCGAGCAACCGCGCGCACCCAGGCGCACATGCGCGCGCCCAGGCGCACCCACGCGCACCCAGGCGCACCCACGCGCTTTCACGCGCGCCCACGCGCATCCACGTGCGCCCACGTGCACCCGCGCGCATCCACGCGGACCCACGCGCATTCACACGCCCATCCCCCCTGCACCCACACGCGAGCCCACGCGCCGCCACGCACGCCCCACCTCCCGCCCCCCGCACCGCGCGCCCGCGCACTCGCGCACCCGCGAACCCACGCCACAACGCACCCGCGTACCCGCGCGCCCGCGCACGCACGCGCTCACCCGCGCATCCGCGCACCCACGCACACACGCACCCGCGCGTCCGCGCGCGCGCGCGCCCGTGCGCCCGCACTCAATCACACATCGAGACAACCTCGCACCCACGCGCACCCACACGCCCAACCACCCACACACCCATACACCCAGACACCCCCACACCCACGCACCCACGCACACACACCCACACACCCACACACCCATACACCCACATACCCACCCACCCACCCACCCACCCACCCACACACACACACACACCCACACGCCCAACCACCCACACACCCATACACCCAGACACCCCACACCCACGCACCCACGCACACACACACACACCCCACCCACACACCCACACACCCACACACCCACACCACCCACCACCCACCCACCACACACACACACACACACACACAAACACCACCACACACCCATACACCCACCCACCACCACACACACACCACACACACACCCACACACCCACCACCCACCCACACCACCCACCCACCCACCCACACACACACACACACGCAAACACTCACACACCCGCACACCCACGCACCCACGCTCTCACACACCCGCGCACAACGTACATAGCACGCAACACAACACACAACACATCAATACACAACACATCAGCACACAATAACGCACAACGCACAACACACCACACACACACCGAAACCACACCACACAGCACACAACTCCCAACACACAACACATACACGCACATATCTGTTCACAGGCACACAGACACAGAGACGCACAGGCACACAGACAAACACACACATACACATACTCACAGGCATACAGACACGCAGAAACACATACCAGCAGGCACACAGACACACACAGGCACACCGACAGACAGACACCCAGACACACCGTCACCCAAACACGCAGGCACACTGGCGCACAGACACACCGACACAAAAGTCGCACCGACGCACAGACCCACAGATACACGGACACACGGACACAGACACACAGACGCACAGACCACAGACGCACAGCCACACAGACACACAGACACACAGACACACGACACACAGGTTCGCAGAGACACAGGCACATGCGGACTGGCACACAAACGCAGACACACAAAGACACACAAACACGCACACACACAACACACATGCACACAACACACAACACACAACGCAATGCACACAGCACACAACACATCATTCACGACAAACACAGCACACACAACACAACACACACACACATCACACGCACGACATACGGCAAACGACACACGACACACTGCACACGACACACAGCACGCGACATACAACACACGACACACGGCATACGGCACGACACATGGCACATGGTACATGGCACACGGCACACGGCACACATCAAACGACATGGCACACGGCACATGGCACCACACTACACAAGACATACGACACACGGCACACAGCACACGACACATAACACATGACACACGACACACAACATTCTACACACATTACGCAACACACAACACAGATCACACGACCCAGAAGTCAGAGCACACCACACGCACACCAATCGTTCCCAGCGCGGTGGCGGATCAATGCAGTCTTCATTCAGGAAACTATTAAAGTAGCGCATACCGACGACGATATCATGCTCAGGGCGAAGCTGAGGGCCTCCAAGCAGCACCAGCGTAGGATGGAGGACCTGTTCGCCATAACGGACGCGGACCACAGCGGGCGGATCCAGAGGAGCGAGCTGCGCAGAATAATGGCGGACAAGAGCATCGCCATGTGGCTTGCCTCCATGGACTTGGATCCCACCGACTCGGACACGCTGTTCGACCTGCTGAAGGGCCAGGACCTTAATGGGCACGGGAAACGGTAGGCCAGTTTGTTGGCGGATTCAATCGTTTTGAGTTGTTTCTCCCCCTGTTCTGTCGTTGTTGTTTTCCCGGCACAGTCCTCATTTATTTTTCCGCTCCTGTTCCTGGCTCTGATTTTTTTTGTCGCGTCGCCCTTTCGGCGGACATTTTCAACAGTTTCCAAACTCTAAAGTTTCATTCTTGAGAACGGTCAGACAAACGGTTCTGCCGTTCCCAAGGCCCACCAAAGGACGAGGCGATAGACATCAACGAGCTGATCACGGGTATCAGCCGCCTGCAGGGTGCCGCACGGGCCATAGACATGCGCAAGTTGCTGATGCACGCAGACCGGCGGCACCTCGCGGGCCTTAAGAGCTGAGTTCCGATGGGGGGGAGCAGACTGACCATGACCAAGATGTCGCGGGGAGTAGTCGACGCCGATCTTGGTCATGGCCCACGTCGGCCGTCGCCGACTCGCGCGGCTGATCTACGAATCAGCGCCGATCAAGACGGACGGTGACCAAGATCGCGACGACGTGTCCGCGTACAGTCGGGGCCCTGAAGAGGGAACCCTTTTCGTTGGAGAGGGGCTCGGTGTTCCTTGATTGTTTCAAAGTTTGCCTCGGGTTTTCCTGAGGTTTACCATGGGAAATCGAGGTTGAATCTATGGGAAGAAAGGGGCCTCGTTCCTTATTTAGGGTTCCCTAGGTCAACGCCTCGACTGTACCTGGGCTTGGGAGCCACGTGGGGCCGACTTCCTCTTTCCGCCCTCCGCTGGCCCAAGCTTGGGGGGCTGCTCGGCGGGCCCGGTTGGGCTGCGCGACAGGGCCCACTGGCCGACCCAGTCTCGGGCCGACCCAGGATTTAGCGCGTGGTGCCCGAGGGCGCTGCCAGGAGGAAAAGAAACACACAGACACAATTCATCCTCGATTCCCCAGAACATATAGGAAACTATGGGAAGTGGGGGGGAAGACAGAAACCCAGAAAATATGTGAAAATATGGGGGATCTTTTTATTTGTGTGCATTTGTTTGTGTGTCCTGGGGCCCCTTCACGCTGGGCGGGGTGGCAGCTCGGGAGATCCCCGGTGAGGGCCGGCGTGACGACGACGAACACGACGAGCACGACCACGACGACGACGAAGACGCCGACGACGCCGACGCCGCCGCCGCCGCGGCCGCCGTCGACGACGACGACGACGGCGGCGACGTCGAAAACGACGACGGCGACGATGACGGCGACGACGATGACGACGACGACGACGACGACGACGGCTCCAGACATGCGATTGTTTGACTGCTTCAATCCAGGGCCCCTGGAAGAAATGGACCTCTCCCCATGGCCGGTTTTTTCTCGAGAACGGGGGATTGTGGAGTCGCACGCCTTTCGGAGGGTGTTTTCCCTTTCTCATTTCCCTCCTCCTCTGTCTTCCCCTTCTCCTATACCTCCTCTTCCTCCTCCTCCTCCGCGCTGCTCCGCGCCCTACTTCCGCTTTGTGCTATTGAGATGCTTCGAAAGAGAGAAATACCCCGCTTGGCATTGCATTGGCATTGGTTTGGTAATGGTTTGGCATCGCATTGGCATCGCGTTGGCATGGCGCTTGGCTGTCAGTGCGTTGGCATTGCGCTTGCATGTCGCAAGCATGGCCCTGACGGGTCCTCATGGTTCCCTCCACCAAAGGACTCATATTGAAACCCTCTACCAGAAGGACTCCTATTGAAACCCTCCACACAAAGGGTTCATTCATATTGAAACCCTACACATATGGATTCCATGCGAAGCCCGCCACAGAAGGATTTCGACTGAAATCAATCACACCTTTCTTCCCCCATTGGCATTGCATTGACGTTGGGTTGGGATCGCCTTGGCATTAAGTTGGCATTGCGATGGCCCTGCTTTGGCATTGCTTTGGCATTGCGCTGGCGAGTTCCAATAGCTCCCTTCGCAGAATGATTTCTATTGAACCCCACACAAGAAGGATTCCGATTGAAGGATTCCACGAGAAGGGTTCATATTGAACCCATTCGAAGCCCTCCATAAAAGGAATCCGATTGGAACCGACCACAAGCGATTTCCCCCAGGCATTTCGTTGGGATTTGATTGGGATTGCCATTGCATTGGTTCGGCATGGCGTTGGCACTGATTTGGCGTTGCGCTGGCGAGTTCTAATGGCTCCCACCACAGAAAGGCTCCTACTGAAACCTTCCACACGAAGGGTTCCTTATGAAAGCCCCCACATGAAGGGTTTATGGTCAAACCCTCCACAGAACGATTCCTGTCGAAACCCTCCACAAGAAGATTCCGATCGACATCCTCCGAAGAAGGATCCGTAACCAAATCATCCACATAATGAAAGACTGGAATCCTGCCATCGGCATTGCATTGGCCTTGGTTTGGTGACGGTTTGGCATCGCATTGGTATTGCGTTGGCGTTGCGATGTCAGTGCGTTGGAATTGCGATGGCATTGCGCTGGCGAGTCCCAACCAAACGCCCCACCGAAGGATTCATATTGAATGCGTCCACAAGAATGATACCTACGGACCCCCCACAATAAGGATTCACATTGCAATCCTCCACGGAAAGGGTTCCGTGCGAATCCCTCCACTGAAGGATGTCTATTGAAATCCTCCGAAGAAGGGTCCTTAGAGTGATTCCTTTGTGGATGACATCATCCACAGAAGGGTTCTTATAAGGATTGCGATTGAACGCTACCACAAGCAATCCACCCCCAGTTGCGTTGCATCGGCATTAAATTTGGATCGCCTTGGCGTTGGTTTAGCATTCCGTTGGCACTGCGCTGGCGTGGCGCTGGCGAGTCTTAATGCCCCCTTTTATCAGAACGATTCTTATTTGAAACCCTCTAAAAACAATATTCTATTTAGAATATGTAACAAAGGGCCCCCCATTGGCATTGCATTTGCATTGGATTGGGATAGCCTTGGCTGTGTTGTAGCATTACGATGGCACTACTTCGGCAGTGCGTCGTCATTTCGCTGGCGAGTCCTAATGGCTCCCTCCGCAGACGGACTCCTATTGAACCCTCCACAAGAAGGGTTCCGAGTGAAACCCTCCACGGGAGGCTCCCTATCGAAACCCTCCACAGAGGCATTCCTACTGAAATCCTCCGCAGAAGGATTCGCAGTGACACTGTCCACCAATCATTCTGATTGAAATCCACCGAGCGAAAAGATCCCCCCATTGGCATTGGATTGGGCATTGGATTGGCACTGCGCTGGCATTGCGCAGGCGAGTTCTAATGGCTCCCTCCGCAGAAGGACTCCGACTGACCCCCCCGCAAGAAGGATGCCTAGTGAAACCCTCCACAGGAGGATCCCTTTTGAAACCCTCCACGGAGGTATTCCTGTTGAAATCCTCCGAAGAAGGAGTTGTAATGACACCGTCCACACAGGATTCTTATCAAAAGCCACCGCGCGTAAGGATTCCCCAATCCACATTGCATTGGCATTGGCACTGTTTGACAATATCGTTGTATCGCATCGGCATGCATTGGCCTGGTGCAGGAGAAAGACAGAGAGAGACAAAGAGAGAGAGAGAGAGAGCACGAGATAACGATATAACGAGAGAAGCATATTATGAGGGAGTCACGGCGAACAAAAAAATAGCAAATAAACATCAAAGGTTATAAAGATGAAGGGGCGTTCCACTCGGTAAAATCCATATCAACACAACGTGCGACTCCACAATCCCCCGGCCTCGAGAGCCCCAGTCGTTTCGGGATGGCCCTGGGGCCCGCCGAGGGCCTCCAGAGGCCGAGAACGGCCAACAAACCCCCCGCCGCGATTCGCAGACATGGTTACTTCGGGCGTGGAATGGATATTCTTCGATTCCTATACCCAAAATATTCGAGGGATTCAACGGCCTGATCAACGATTACCCTGAGCTTTGGAATGCATGGCCATCACCAGAGCGTGGTTATTTACGAAAGTCAGCTTCCATGGCATTCCAGATCCGGCACGCCACGACGTGGCTTGTTCTACAGCAGCTCATCGACAAGATACGGCCAGTCTCCAGCAAGCGGGCAAGCGCAGAAACGAGTTTCCTTGACGAGGCCAAAATTGCAACAACGGCTACATCGTCGAGTTGAGGAACTGGTTTCAGCAGCAGGCAGAGGCAAGCGTGGATGATTCGCCACCCTCTCCACCAACCGAGGGAAACGCTGACCCACTGCTGTCGTCGCAGGTTCCACCGCCTCCGCCCACGCGCCCCCCTCCACCAGAGGATGCCACCGCGCCTGCCCCCGCGCAGCCACCGCCGCCGCCGCGCCCGCCGCCGCCATTTCTTCCATCGCAGCCCAAGGATCCACCCGCGCCTCCGCCACGGCCACCGCCCGTGCCTACGGTGGGCGACAGCGCGCCGGTGGCTACGCCTGCAGTCGCCGTTCCTTCCGCGGCATCAGCGGCATCGTCCCAGCTCGCAGCGACGGCCGCGCATGATTGCCGCGATCGATCCCAATCCGAGTGGGCAAAAGATACATTGGGCAAATACGGGGATTATTACACACCCCGAGAATACTGTGTCCGTAAGAAGACATTTTATTACTTGCGCGGACATGGCAATCATGCAACATGCACTACGGATGAGAAGTACATTTGGCGCTTACAATACGACGGCTATGTCATTTTGTACGTCTTGACTTGCAGAACAGTGGATGTTCCCCTGAATATGAATGGGTCACGTTGTGTACGGCGAATTCGCGACAACTGGGGCCTCCTCTGCTGAGAAGATGGGAACATCACCATTTCTCTGCCGCCGCAAATTAGTTCGGCAAGTTGATTTCCACGAAGTTACGTCACGACAGTGGAATGCGCAACGGGCTCAATCAGTTTTTTTATCGTCGCGTCAACATCTGGCCAAGGTCGAGCGATATGGGGCCTTGGGTAGTTTGCAACGCAGCCTCTTCATTCGACCAGCTGATGAGAACCGTATATGGACGCAACCGACATGGACCTGACTCCCGGACAGCCGCAGCCCACATGCGACAGGTGCAACCACTTGGACAATCTTGGCCGTCTGAAGACGATTACTGCGTCATCGCGGTGCTACGCTTCCTCCAGTTGCGCATCGAAGACGACGAGTCACGCAATGCCCTTGGCCAACGTTTCCCTTTGACGGAATGTTTTGGCTACTGGGGCCGTCGGCGGTCTGAGTCGCGCGTGTCCGGAGCCAGCCCATGAACATGGGTTGGGCGCGTTTATCATGGACAGGCGCAAAATGCTTGCATCGCGCCACTACCAAGAATGCGTTGTACAGCACTACTACATATGGCATGTCCCTGAGCGCGGCGCTGCGCGCGAGGCTCGGAGGGAAGCTTTATTCAGCTCCTGTTCCTTCGCGCCCCTGGGCGGGCCGAACCCCCGCGCCGAGCTTCGCGGCTACATGTTCGACCGCGAGAAGAAACAGGTCGACGTTGCCATGGGCATGAGAGCCGCCACCGCAGCAGGTTGCGCGTTCTGGCCCGGAGAGCAGGGCGCCACCGTGTGCCCGCAGACCATTCCGCGAGGCACCATTCGCGCCATCCGCGCCGTCGGGGGCGCGGTCCTCCTCCCAGAGCGCAGCGCAATTTGGACGTGCCCACCGCTGGAACAGCTCCCTGAGCCACGGAGTCGATGCGAAGTTTGCGACGCTGTGCCAGTGGCAACACCTGCGGCGAAGCGCATGCCCAGATTCGCTCCCCCGCAGCCGCTGCCAGCACCCGCGCAGACTCCAGCGACTCCAAAGCCCAGTGCACGCGGTTCTGCCATTGCCAAGCGCCCACCGCCTCCGCTGCTGCCCGCGGTCACGCAGCCCGCGCAGGCAGCCGTGCCCACGGATGCCGCGGCCGATCTCTAAGATGCAGTCGCACGGCAAGACGCCGATATTTCTTCGCCTGGCACGCACGCGGCCGCCTATACTGCACCCACGGACACGCCGGCGCCAGTGGAAACGCCCGCGCCCACGCAGGATGCGACCCCACCAGAGCTGCCACCAACGCAAGTCTTGCAGGACATGGCCGATGACCTTGCGAACGCCGCAAAGTGGGGGAACATCGTGCAGACCAACAAGGAGCAGTATTACGAACCACTGGTGCGAGAGCTCCCAGATGCTTGCTGGAACCGAGATCCGAGGTGCACAAACGTCAAAGACGGCGGTTTCATCTATACCCGACCTTGGGGCTCATCTTGTTGCAGAGCTTGCAATGCCCCATGGCCAGCTGGAGACGTCAAGCGTGGCATTAGCTGGCGAATTGAAACTGTTTGGCCCTGTCATCGACTTGGTCCACGCCGGCTGCTACATCGCGGTTCAGATACCGTTTCGCGGTGAAGGGCCACGTTGGGTCAACATATGGCACGGCGATCGCGGACATGAGCAGATCGAAGTTGACTTCGCATATCCTCTTCATGCTGGTATTCCCGATGAGATGATCACCACCTTCTCACAGTACGATATGGAAGAGCACCCTATCGCAGAAACAGTCGTTGATCTGCCGGTGGAAACACCCGCGCCACACAGCACTGACCCTACAGAGGCCGACCACGATGACGATCAGGCTGTCGAAGCGGACTAGAAGATTACCATTTCCCTTGTCATTGGTCCACCTGAAATTTTGGCGAACGACCCTGGCTCGGCCGACGTGCTTCATCAAGCCAGGGCATCAGGCACTTGCATTTCGATGTCCCGGCCACTGGTGAACATGCTGTTGCGCAAGGGCTACCCAGCACATCAATGTCACTTGCGAACATGGCAAACATACGTTGACCACTCATGTCGGTATCCTTTTCCGCCTCAACACCGACATGCAGTTGTACGACATCGTTTAACCACCGCAGTCCATGGGCCATCCAGCTGCCAGATCTGTGCAACCATATATGTTTCTTACATTCTCTGATTTGGCACTTGGAGTAAGTACGACGGTGAGTGCGGCTCATTGCATTGGGTCTACACCACATAGCGGCCATCTGGACTACAGCCCAGGAGCGCTTGGTTGAGACTCCCCACGTGGATATCCATCGCAACCATCCAGGACGCCCTGCCTTGCGAAAGTTTCGGGGAGACACGGTTGCATCCGATGCAACATTCCAAGGCGACTTGCAATCCGACTTCCCCATGAACGGCGACCAGACGGATGGGGAGACTTGTTGCTCGTATTCTTGAGGCTGACACGACGGCGCACCGCGCCCCATCTGTGTTCCCAGAGCCCGCTTCTGACCCAGGGAGCTCCGCTTCTGCCGCTGCCCCCGCCCATGGACAATTGTCGAGGTACTCCGTACTGATTCCGATGACAACTTGGAGGGCGATGAGAAGTCTGCGAAGGAAGCCGTGCTCATCGAACAGGCCCAACCGATGATTGCCGAGCATCCTGGCGCTGCCTCAGCGCACCAGTCCGGCGGAAACATCTCGGCAGGTGATCTTTCCGATCAGATGACTGGCAAAGAATTGGGATCTCTGTCGACCTATCTTGCCACCGATAGCGCTCGTGTGATCCCTGATCAGACCCTTCGCGATCTCGGTCGTTCCTCTTGCGCCGGTGGAAACGCCCGCGCACGCATTGAGACACTCATCCAATCTGGGGCAAGTGAGATTCAAATGGGACAGCGGCGCTGTGATAAATGCTTCCGTGGCCTCCTTGTCCACTAGCGACCGCACTTGTAAGATGTGCGTGGGCGCTCTCGCCCTAGGCGACATCGGCGAGGATCAAGTCGCATGCGTCCCGGGCGTCAATCGCTGGACCTGCGATATTTTGAACTGCGACATTGCGAAGTGAGCTATGCGCGCAGACGTTGCCATCATATTTACAGGCCAGCGATCTGACGCCTTGAAGGATCGAGATTTTCTTTGGCGGCTTGCCGCTACAGCCGAACATATGCACCGCAGGTGGCTTGAGAATGGATCACCTTCGGCTACGGAATGCCGCGTGTCTGGCACCGAGGTTGATCAAGACGACGTCGACGGTCATCTATACCATTATCATGCGAACGTTCTTCTGCGCTTCCAGGAGTACCCTGTCTTCTGGCAGCAAATGACCACCCGCGGGGTAGAGCGCAACCTTCGACTTTTCTTTCTTCGGACATGAAATTGGCCGCGCAATGCATGCCCGCAGCGTTGCGAAAGGCCGTGCTGGACGCGCAGCCAAGGCCCCTCGCGCGATGGGCCGCCCTGGGTCCTACGTCATGGGGTTCTTGACCTTTTCCGCCCCCTCTGGGAAGGGGTCGGGCTCGATGAGCCGCGCGGCGCTCGCGGAGCTCAGAGCGGACGTCCACGAAGGCAAAATGGGGCAGGGATATCGCAGGCCCACGCCCTGCCCCGCCTCCCGCGCCTCGACCGCCGCGCCGCGATGGGCTCGGCATGGGCGCCGCCCCCCCCTCGGGCGCGGCGTCCTCTGGCGGCCCTGCCCCTGGCGACGCTGGCTGGACTGGCGGAGTCGCTGCGGCTGCCACGCCGACAGCGACGCGCGCGAGGAGGCCGAGGACACCACCGAGTCGACCGCAAGACTCGCAGCGCACGACCGGCAAGGCCGCGCCGATCCATTCAGAGCGCAGCCGCAGTGCCAATCGCAGGCGCCGCCCAGAGGCATGGCGGCGCGACCGCCCGGGCCACTGCAGGGGCAACGCGTATCGATATTGGGCATGTCATTTGAACGGGTGGATCTACATCGACGGGAACGGTTGCGAATGCACGTGCGTCGATCAAAACACTGCGCGCACGACCGAACAGTTCGATAACCAGGGCAATCGTATTTAAGATGATGCGTACGATGATTACAACAGGCTTCGCTGATAGGTTTAACTTTGACATGACATCGTTTCGTATCTTCTGGCATTCGCACCATGCATATAACAAACGATCGTTCTTTTTCTATTGGCATTATAAGCATGCGCGTGCCCTTGCAGGCCGCCCGCCACCCACGCATTACATTACTGGCGACATCAGGGGCATGAGCGCACCCAGGCAGGTCGCCCGTCGCAAATATAATCGCACTATACAGTTCTTTTCATAGGATGTCAGAAACACAGAGTACGACATGTGCAAAACATGACCCCCATGGCTTTTCATTCCGTAGCGCTCACTCTTTTATATGATCTTGGATATACATAGCATAGCTCTGGGGCCTGGAGTGCCTCGCGCATCACGTTTCAGTCTCGTTACTTTGATCAGTCGTTGTAGCAGCGTGGATCACGTGCAACTTCTTTGATCACTTGTCGTAGCAAGTCCGATCTGAATGCCAACCCGATTCTTGGCATGGGGCGCCCAGGAATTGATCTTTCATCGAGCATGGCATGATCAGTTGTCGTCGCAACTCTGACCACGGTACTCTTGATTTCAGAGCTTCGGGTTGCTATGCCCCCGCGCGGTTTGAGTTTTGCACGCGACGTATTGCGCGCTGGTGGAAACGCCCGCGCCGGCATCCTTGGCGCGGCATCGTTTTCCACTTCTTCTACCCTTCGTTCCCCAACCTCGTCACCCGCGGAAAAGGGAGGTCGTCCAGGCGCGCCGAAGGGTTTTTTTTAGGGGGCGCACCCTAGGCCCGCTAAAGGCGGGCAGGCCCCCCCAAGTACCCTGCGTGACGTGGTTGACCCCGTTTCTTTCCTAGCCGTGACGGCCTCGTTTGGATATTGCACGGGGTGGGAAGGTGCGTCGAGTGGACATCGCGCCTCTGGTCCCGAGCCCCGCCCTTGTTTCCCGTGGGCCCGAGGCCCGCGTGGAGCGGGCGGGATTCGGGACGGGGTGCGTGCGTGTGCGTGCGAGAAGTCCGCCCATACCACCTTCCGAACCATCTATTTTGTTACCGTCGCTGCTCAGGTTTGGAAACTGGTACCGCGCCGCCTGCCCGCTGCGCATGGGGAAAGGGATCGCCACCCTCTTCCTGGCCTTCCTCTGCCTACGGTTGTCTCAGTAGGTTCGAGTCCTCGGTCGCCAAACTACATGCACATTCACGAATCGAGGGCGGGTGGTCTTCAAACTGTGGTTCTCGCCTGAGCTCGGTGCATCTTCGTTTAAAACATGGCAATAGTTTCACGGATTGAGGGCGGGTGGCTTTCAGCATGCGGCTCTCGCGTTAGCGCGGCGCACATTCGTTTTGAAATGCTGCATTGCCTTCGTGGATTGAAGGCGGCTCCTTTTCGAAATGTGGTTCTCGCCTTACCGCGTTGCACATTCTTGTTAAAATTTGCAAGAGCTTTACAATATGAGGGCTGCTCCTTTTTCAGAATGTGGCTCTCGTTTCAGCGCCGCGCGCACTCGTTCAAACATGTGCAAACATTTCGCAGGTTCCCATCATCAGCGTGCCAGAAATTGTATTTGGAAAAGATTCCAGAATACGCGGGCGCATCGTGACGTCCAAAATCAGGGAATAGGCGAAGCCAAGAAGCATCGGGAGGTGCCCTTCCCGACTCCCTTTTGGAGCTGATCTTATAAGATTGGCAGCGCGCGAAAACATATTAGAACTTTCGCAAACGACATGCGATCTCATGGCTTGCCGCGCATGAACAGTCGTTGTCCGCTCGCAAGCAGTGTTGCAGCGCTGAGGAAACACATTGGATATCATGGTTTCCGCGCGAATTAACACATGCGGTGCCGCGACTTAGCACACGCGGACGCAAGAGTTGCGTTGATTCGCTGCGTTGAAAACCCAGGAGTGGCGTTCTGGCACGAATTTGGATCGTCAGCGCGCAACTGTCAGGTTGATCCGTGGCGTTGGGATCCCGAGAACAACGTTCTAGCATGCTGCAGTGTCTTCAAACGGTTGTTTTCCAACGAGGCAGTTCCATCAATGGAAATGAATCGTTGTAGGGGCCTATGATGGGGCGGTTAGCAGGGAGGGTTTATTCCAACATCGTTGATGCCTCTTGGGTTTACGCTGGTCCTCCTCCTCCTCCTCCTCCTCCTCCTCATCCTCCTCCTCCTCCTCCTCCTCTTACTACTCCTTTTCCTCCCCCTTTTCCTCTTTCTCCTCCTCCTTTTCCTCCTCCTCCACCTCCTCCTCCTCCTCCTCTCCCCCCTTTCCTTCTACCGCCCTGCTTCCCGTGGGTTCCCTTCTGGCACCACCTCGCGCTCTCGCGCTGCAGTCTGGCGCGTGCTGGATCCAGTCTCGAGTGATCACTGGATGACGAGGAGGATGGTGGGCTAGGTGTGGAAAGGGGAACGAGGTGGAGGAGGAGGTGGTGGAGGAGGAGGAGGAGGAGGTGGAGGAGCAGCAGCAGCAGCAACGGCAGGAGGAACAGCAACAGGACTGCGTGGGGAGGAGGAGGAGGACACAAAAGAAGGAAGGAGGAGGGATGATGAGGTTAGAAAAGGAAGCCGGGTGGAGGTGAGGGGAGGATAAAAAGAGAATGGCGGATGAGAGAATAATGAAACGGATAAGGGGGAGGTGGAGAAAAGGAGAGGAGGCGGAGGACGAGGAGGAGAATGAGGAGGATGAGAAAGAGGAGGAGGAGGAGGAGGAGGAGGAGGAAGAGGAGGAGGAGGAGGACTAGGAGGAAAGTAGGGAGGAGGAGGAGGCGGGGGAGGAGGCTGAGGATAATATCATGATGGAGAGACGAGGAAGAGTAAGGACGAGGAGGAGGAGGATGAGCAGGAGGAGAAACAGGAGCATAACGAGGAGGAGCAGGAGGAGGAGGAGGAGGAGGAGGAGGGCCAGGAGGGGGTTGAGAGCGAGGGAGATGGCCAATTGCCGTGGACCACAGTGCCAATGAGCATCTGTGCCTTGTTCCGGAGCGGCTCACTGCGCGGGGAGCGCCTCGCTGCAACAAGACAAGCTCGGAAGGGGAGTGAGGAGCTGGAGCGGCAGCAGGATGCGAGGCATAACGGGGGTGAGCAGGTGCGGGGTCAGGAGGTTACTTATACTTAGGATGAGGACACTTCGGATGAGGACACTTAGGATAAGGACACTTCGGATGGTACGTGTGCTAATCATGCTGAAGATGAGGCTGACTATGGAGGTAATGATGCTGCTGTTGCCGATGATGCTGCTGATGATGATGCTGATGATGATGATGATGGTGATGATGATGAGGATGATGATGGCGATGCTGATGATGAGGATGCTGATGCTGATGATGCTGATTGGAGTAGAAACAGGAGGAGAAACATCTGAGGAGCAAGGGCATGAGGTGGAGAAGAATGAGGAGCATGCCAGTGACGACGACGACCACGACGATAACGATTACGACGATGCTGATGGCGATAGCGACGGCGATGGTGTTCGCCGCGACGACGATGATTCAAGGACAAGGTGATTGTCGACGGCCGATGACGGTGGTAAAATGATCAATGACAATGGTGAGCAGGCGGGTGGTGACGACGACGATGGTGAATCCTGAAAATGACGATGATGACGGTGATGACGATGACGATTCGGATGATGATGCTGATGAGGATGAGGAGGAGGAGGAGCAGGAGGAGGAGGTGGAGGAGGAGGACGAGGTGGAGGATGAGGAGACCCGCCTGACGCCCACCTGGACGAAGGTCTCCGAAGTCGACGCCCGGGCGGCAGTTCTGGCACGGCCCCGCCTCGTCCTCGCGAACAGCGCGGCGCGCACGATCGGCAGGGGGCTGGGCACGCAGCTGTTGTGACGGCTGCGGCATGGGCACAACACTCGGGCGATCGTAAGTAAGCATGGATTCAGGGGGCGTGGACTGTGATCGTGTTTTATGCCTTGTTCTGCCGATCGGCGCGGGCCCTCGCACCGCCCGCCCCCCCCCATGGGGTAGATCTTGGCCGTTTCTGGCACCTGTTTCAAGAAGGTGGGCTCTCCCCCATCAGACGCACTGTCGCAAACAGTCGCAGTAAGCAAAGGTCCAGAGCCAGACTCCCCCCTCCCCCCCCCCCATCCGCCCAGTGTCGAAACGCCGAATAAGAAAACGTTCATTCAGCGACGGGTCCCGTTTCCATGGGTTATCGCGAATTTCCGCCGCCGAGCGAGGCGGCGCCGGCAGCATTTTTTGGGGAGGGCGCCTCTCCCGATCCATGGATGTGGCGACCGCGCGCCAGATCCATGGATCGCTAATCCATGTTTGCGCGCGCCCGAGTTGTGGCGGATGCGGCATGGGCACAACACGCAGCCGTACATGTCAGCGTGCCCTGGCGTGTATGGTCGGCTCGTACGCGCCAGTGATGCTCGAGAGGCTGACGCCAGTTCCGCCGACGCCCCCGAGCAAGATACAAGATAAAAGGTCACATAGGGCATTCCACAAAAGGCCTCACCTTCGAGGGATCGAACTATTGCCTTTTCTTTCTCGGCAGAAGGTCGCGGAAGGCTGACCCACGCCGGCAGAGGTGAACAAACGAGGACGCCTTCGCTGGCGGCAGCCCGCCGGGAGGCCGGCGGCAGTCGGCGGAAGTGACAGGTGCTCCACAAGAGATGACACTTCGTTTGGATCCAGGGCTTCCTGATCCCGCCATACGATCGACTGGTTGTTGTAATGGCCTCCAGCCAGTGCCGCCGATCCGGGGGGCCCCGGATTCGGTGATCTTCGCGGCTCTGTGGCCCCCTCCCTCCTCGATTATTCCGCTCCTCTTTCTTCTCCCTAGTTCTCGTTATCCTCTGCCTCCCGTTGACCCCTTTGCCATTGCGTCGCGTGCTCGCTCCCCTCTCCGTCCTCGCTTGTCCTCGTTCCCGCTTGGGGGGTGCCTGGAAAGGTCCCGGGGGGAGTCCGGGGTTCCGAAGGGAGGGTCCTGGGGGCGGTAGCGGCTAGATCTGAGAGGGGGTCCTTGGGACCCCCCGAAACATCTTGGGGGTGCGCAAATCATGAAGAGACGCCAGATGGGGGACCGCCGTCCCCCCCCTTCCTCCCCTTTCCCTGACCCCCCGACACATTTTGGGGATGCGCAAACCATTGAGAAAACACCAGATGGGGGACCGCCCCCCCCCCCCCTCCCTCCTCTCCCCCTTCCCCGGCAGAGCCACCCCGGCGACCACCCCCAAGCAGAGCTGAAGCTCTTGCTTAGGCTCAGAGCTGAAGCTCTTTCTGAGGCTCCTTGCAGCTCACACGCCGGATTGGCGGATTTCATTTTGGTGTGATCAAGGGCAGGAGGCACCAAGCAAGGAATCCGCACATCCGGATTCACGGAAAGCCTCCAGGGGGGAACCAGCTCACAAATCTCCTGATCAGTGGCTGTTGGGGCTATGACCTGGAGGCGTGTGATAGAATGTATGGGCCTGTCTTGTCGTCCTCGTGGGTCCTTGGGGTCCTTTTGGGGCCTTCTGGGGTTTCTTGGAGCTCTTTTGGAGCTCACTTGGGGCTCGCTTGGGGCCTTGGCGGATCCTCTGGGTCTTTGTGCCGCGTGGGGAGTCTTTGGGCCCTCTTTGAGCGGACTTAGGCCGTTGCGGGGCTATTTTTTGGTTGTCTTGGAAGCCAGCCATGCACAAAAATGAGGTCGCAGTTGGACTATTATGGAAGCAGCTGGGGATATCTGGAGAGGGGCATTCTGGAGGTCTTCTGGACCTGGAGGCGTCTGTAAGAAATCAGACGAGATGACAAGAATCATGGACCTACCATTCCCCAATGATTTTGAGGTGTTAGGGCTCCCTCTTGGGGCCTCCTTGGACTGTCGTGGGGACTGTCTATCAGGCTTCTAGGGCGTGTTGGAGCCTTTCTTGTCCCGTATCGCAGGGCATGTGTGGCATACCGGGATCGTCGGAGGTTGGATCTGGAGGCTCTGAGAGCCCCAGGGGCGCGTTGAGAAGCTCGCACAATCTCGCCCTCTCCCCGTTTAACGTTTGATTTTGGGTTCTCGGGGATGGGGGAATGGGGGAGGCAGCCAGCCATACATCTCCCACGCCCCCCCCTCCCTGGGCAAGCGGGGGATCGGTGGATGTCTCTGCGCAGCGAAGGGGTCGATTCACTCACCGCGTCTGTCTGTTGTCCAGGGAGCCGAGACATCTCGTGCATGCACGCTCCAGCATCACACAGCTTCTGGAGCTGGGGCGTCAGTTCGGGCGCTGCTAAAGGTAATCCTGAGGCAAGGGCTCCCAGGAGGGCGCGAAGTTATTCGCGCTTCGCGCTTCGCCGTCCTCCTTCCTCCTCCCCCTCCTCCTCGTCCTCCTCTTCTCCCCCTTGGGGGGCGGCGCGAGAGCGCGAAGTTATTCGCGCTTCGCGCTTCGCGCAGCGCGAAGCGCGAACTTAGGAGCCCTTGCTGAGGGCACCCTGGGCCAGGGGCACGTCTAGCAACACCCGGGGAGGGCACAGATCTCCGTGGCCGCCCAGACGACTTGTTGTACCAAGGGCTCCCACGAGGGCGCGAAGTTATTCGCGCTTCGCGCTTCGCGGTCCTCGTTCCTTCTCCCCCCTCCTCCTCGTCCTCCTTTTCTCCCTTTGGGGGGGCGGCGCGAGAGCGCGAAGTTATTCGCGCTTCGCGCTTCGCGGAGCGCGAAGCGCGAACTTGGGAGCCCTTGTTGTACACTTTGGGCCCCTCCCGTGCGCGCCGCCACGCCCGCCCCGGCTGCTCGCGCACGACGGCTTCTGCTTGCTGTCTTTGTGCCGTGCGGACGGAGGTGCGCAGGCTGGCACGTCGGGAACCCTCGCAGGCCGTTCCTCCGAGATTCGCGAATCCAGGTTGATCAGCTCGTGCCTGCTTGTATCTATGCTGCGCATGCCCAGCTTCTGTGGGTAACCCTTGCGTCAGAGCTTCGCTTCAGTTTCTTCTGATTGCTGTTCTATCAGATATATGCAAGCCCAGGGCCACCATCATAATCTAAGGCATCGAGGCATTGTGCGTCACTCGAGGTTGAACCGCAGTCGGACTAAGACTATTTCCTTCCGATGCATGCAAGCTCGTAGCTGCTGTGTGTTCCAGTTGCTTTGCTCAGCACGCTACGCTGTGTTGCGCTTTCCTTAGCATTCGTTTGCAGTATGCTTCACACGTATGGACATCTTGCGTTCTTGCGCCGTCCAGGCATGGCTTATAGGAGGGGCTGTTATCACGACTAGTACGGGTTCTTCCCAGACCAGTGTATTTGTGCATCCCATGACTTGCAGGAACACCGCCTTTCTATGACTGCCGCCGCCGCTTTCTATGGCTACTGTCGCTCTCGACGTGATCGGCGTCCTTGTCGCTCTCTAGCGCAGCAATTGCTTGCTATTACTTGTGGCCCAAGTTGTGGCTTGCCTGCTTCTCTCACCGCGCCCGAGAGGAGCTCCAGAGGGCAGTGGCGCAGAGCGAGGAGGTTGCGCAGGAGGCGCGTGCGTGCAGCAGAGACAGGGGGTTCTATCACGTCCACAGCAGAATCGTGAGTTGTTTGGAGTCGGAGTTGCAGTCGGCGCCTCCTTCTGCGAGAAGCGCAGCTTGCCCAGCAGCCCGTGCCACGCTCGGCATTCGCTCTCTCACTGCTGGAAGGCTTGCTGAATTGGGGCCGTGCCACGCTCGGCCGCAACTCCTGCTTTTCCCCTCCACCCCTCCCTCCTCCGTGCTTCTTCCCTCCCCCCTCCCTGCCCCTCCCTGCCCCTCCCTGCTTCTTCCCTCCCCCCTCCCTCCCCCCTCCCTTCCCTCCCCCCTCCCTGCCCCTCCCTGCCCCTCCCTGCTCCTCTCCCTCTCCCTCCTCCCCGCAACTCCTGCTTTTTCCCTCCCCCCTCCCTGCCCCTCCCGCCTCCCAGAGGTTGCTTTGGCTTGCCTCCACGCTCCGCCCCCAGGGAGGGAGGATGCATAAGGAAGAAGGCAGGAGGAAGATGCGGAGGAGGAGGAGGAGGCGGAGAAGGAGGAGCAGGATAAGGAAGAGGAGGACGAGGAGGAGGAGGTGGATCCTTCCTCG